TATTATATTATATTAAAATAAGTAGACCAGTCATTTTAGAGATGTTTCGGTTATACAGCAGTTTCAACTGTAATAAATATGACCTAATGTAACACTTCTGAATTTAATATTTACAAATCATCCCCATGGCTGAATTAACAATTTTAGAATTAGTTTTTGTCATTGTCACTAAATGTGTCAAATATGGAAATTTCACATTATCAGGAAGAAAGAGAATACAGCCCATGCTCTATAGGAGATTTGAAGTGTCATGTATGGTTTACTAATGAGAACTTTGATTATGATGGAAATTATTTTAAAATTTTAAATTTTTTCCTAATTTAAGTATTTATATACACACATACAATACGTGTGGTGTGTATGCTTTTGTCTGTTGAACAGAATTGGGCCGATACTGCTGATAGTTTTATACCCTGCTGCTTTCACTTATATCCTGTGAGCATGTTCCTGTGTGTATTAGTCAGTATCCTAGCACAAAACAAATGATGCACTCGGCTGGGATTTTGTTAGTAAAGGCACCGTTCACAGAAATGGGGACAAAGTGAAAAGAACCAGAAGAAGATTCTGAAGCATCCACACACCAGTGGTAATTGTTGCTACTTTATAGTATGTTTGGGAGCTTAGGCTGTGGATGAGTGCACTTACTGCCCCCTCAGAAACTATAGTTATAGAGAATTTAAGCTGCTTCTCAGTATCTTGAGGCAAGTAGGACTTCAGAGAGGAATCGTGTGTTACGGTACCTACTCCTCTGCAAACACAACATGTAAATAAATAGCAGTACAGAATTTTCTCAACTGAGAGAAACGGTTGGAGAACCAAGTTTTGTCCTCCTGATGATCTAAATGAGTTGTGCCCAGCAGGAATTCTAAGCCAAAGCAAGAGGCAGCTCAGCAGCCTCCTCTGTCTCTGGTCATTGTGATTGATAGGCTTGATTACTCTTGGAGTTGCCTCTTCCTGCTCCTATTGGTGAAAGACTCTAAACAGATGACAGTCAAGGTGAGGTCAGGAGGAAGAGGACTCATTGCACGCGGATTTCTTTGGGCCATGGCCAGCCTTTCCTTTCCTTTTTTTCTTTGTTTTACAAAGTGCAGTTTCAGGCTCAGGAAGCAAATTAGAAGTTCCGCCCTGGCTAATTCCTGTTCCTTTTCTTCAGAACCACCACCAGCAGTGGAGGATTAACCATCAGCAGCCTCCTCAAGGAAAAGGAGGGCTCCGAAGTGGCCAAGTTCACTCTTGAGGAGCTTTGCCTCATCTGCAGCATCCTGAGCACAGCAGAGTACTGTCTGGCCACCACCCAGCAGGTGAGCCGTCCTGACTGTGTGTACCATCTCCTTTCCCTGAACTCTCTGGGCTGCATAGCCTGAAGGAAGAATGTGAGCCCTAACAGGGCCATATGCAGCCTTAGCCAGACTAGTGGGCCTGCCACAGAGGAAAACTCACTGTCCAGCCAGAACACTACCCGGGCAGCCATCTTACAGAAGAGCTTTGTTAAAAGAAGACTGACTAGTTTCCTCCCCAGAGTTGTGAAAGCCACTCAACGGGCATGGGCTCTTAAAAGTAGGTCAGTATCCCTACCTCCCACATGAGAAAAACAGTAATAAACTTAGTTCTAGGACCCAGCTGCTGGTGGTAATGAGTCACGACCAGTTATTCCATTCTCAGAAGTGTTACTAAGCTAAGCAGAATCCTTTGGGCTTTTATGTGTCTCCTTAAATTTACATAGCATTCTCAGTCTGCCGAAACAGATAACCATTGTTTGGGATGCCAACATTCAGGAACTATGAAGCAGGAAGGGGTGTCCCTCTACTGGAGCCCCCCAGATGCCAGAAGTTCAGTGAACTGACTCAGCAGAGGGAAGACTTTGCATTCAGCCTTGGACATGGGATTGGAAGTCCTTTTTCTCATTTGGTCTGTGATCATCTAAGGTTAAAAGAAAGAAAAGAATTTGGGAAGGCTCTGTTCCTTTACCTCTTCGTGAGTATTATTTATACATGTCTAGATAGCCATAAATGATAGTTCAGATTTTACAGCTTGGAGCTCCTGCGAGCCAGGGCCTGAACACAGTAGGCTAAATAGGTTGTGTTCCCACAAAGACTCCACAGTTAGACATAGTTGGATTGAGTTAAATAGGGAATGGCCTATAAAGGTTTGGCCTTGAAACTAGAGACAACAGTCCATTTATCCCCATGCATTCCCTGGGCAGCACATTATCATCTGAGAGGACCTCCGAGGCAGGAGTCCCAGAGTTTTTTAGTGAAGAATCACTATTTGAATATTTTGTACGTGTACAGGAAAAAAGACACACATGTAAATATAGTATTCTAAGAGTAACATAACCATAGTACAAAAAATAATAATAAATATAATTAATCTTAATCCTATCACCCTCATATAATCATATTGACCACTTATTTTCTTCCAATTGTTTTTTATAAACATACTTGTGTATGTTATAGTCTTAATTCACTTTTACATCATTTTCCTTTTTTGTTACTGTCATAGCATTAGCATTTCTCCTGTTATTGTTATCATTGTTTATGGCTACCTGATATTCCATTAAGGGACTGATAATTGGATATATTGATATCCAAATTCTCAGCAGTTTTCCTGATAATGGGTTATAGTGATTTTTTAAAAATTTGTTTGTTGCTTTTGAGGATGCTAAAGAACAATTAGTATGAGTTGAATACTGGTAAATAAAGAGAAAATTTTTATCCTGCCTTTCCTATCTGATGTGTACCGTGGGATAATCAAATAATTGATAGTTAAACTCTTTTTACAGAAGTTCAGTCAATAAAAAAGATGAAAAGAATGAGTTAAAAGATCATTATTTCTCCTAGTGCAAGAATAATGGTTATAGACATTGAGCATCACTGGCTACAGACATTGCAAAAAGAGAGACGGGGTGTAGCTCAGTGGGAAAACGCTTACCTAGCATGCATGAGCCCTGGGTTCAGCCCCCAGCACCAAAAAACAAACAATCAAAACAAAACGGGGAAAAAAAAGAGAGTGTGTGTCAAATATTATGTACAGTAGCTCCTGATAAATATTACATACAGTGAAGAAGTTTTCTGAAAAAAAGAACCTGAATCTGATCAAACTAATATATCTAACTACTAATTTATAGGAAATACAAGAGACAGAGAAACATGTTAGTATTTGTTGATACAATCAGCAAAATCCAAGCCATGGAAAAATATACATGACAAACAATCCAATTTCTTTAGGGAAAAATTACAGAGGAGCAAAGAGAAATAAAGGAAAAAACCAAAGAAACATAAGAATCCGAGCAACAGTAGCTGGGTGTGGTGACACATACCTGTAACCCCAGCACTTTGGAGGCTGAGGCAGGGGAGTCACTGTGAGTTTGAGGCCAGCCTAGACTACAGAGTGAGTTCAAGACCTGTCTCAAAAAATCAACAAAAGAAGCAAACAAAAAAGAATCTGAACAACAAAGAATTGGAAAATAAAATTTAAAGCAGTAAAACCAAGTAACATGTTGATGTTGTTTATCAGTTACAACAAATGTATCATACTACTGATAGTAATGTGCAAAACTGGGTGTGTGGTATGTGCGAACTCTTTGAACTATTTTTGCATTTGTTCTATAAATCTAAAACTATTTTATTTTTAAAAAGCTACCCATAATACCAGTTTAAAACATCAGATACTTAGAAGTAAATCTGATGAAAAACATGTAAGGCCTCTAACTTGAAAACTATAAAATGTTGCTGAGTGAAATTAAAGTCTTGAAAAATAAAAAGATTTACCATGTTCATGGATTGGAAGACTTCGTTATTAAGACATCCATTTTGTATAAAATGATGTATAGATTTATCACAGCTCCTTATCAAAATCCGAACAGACTATTTTGAAGAAGTAAGCAAGAAAAATTTACAAAGAAACACAATCTTGAAAAAGAAGAAAAAAATGGGTGTTGTATTACTTGATTTTAAGATTTACCATAGGTCTGGGTATGTGTATATGGTTAGTTGATTTTAGCACAAAGGTGCTAAGCAATTAAACAGAGAAAGGAAAACCTCAACAATCATGGACGTAACAACTGAATTTAAATATGGAAAACAACTTAACCCCTGTCTCGTACCAGATACAAAAATCAATTCAGGATGGATCAAAGACATAAAAGCCAGAACCATAACGCTTCTAGAAGAAAAACAGGAAAAGATCTTTACAACCTTGAGTAATCAAGGATTCTTTGGTCAAGATATAAAAAACTGTTAACCACCAAAGGTGAAAAATTGGTGCTCATCAAAATTTAATTTTCTGCTCATTGAAAGACTTCACTAATAGGTAAACCATAGACTGAAGAAAATGTTTGCAGTATGTGTGATACAGGACTGTATCCAGTGTACATCAAAAACTCTCGATAATCATCAATAAAAGCCAAATAATCCAGTTTAAAATAAGCAAAAAACTTGAACAGATTTTTCACAAAAGGAGATATATACCAGCTAGCTATGGTGGTACCTGCCTTTAATCCCAGCACTCTCAGAGGCTGAGGGCTGGGGATGTAGCTCACTGCAAAGGCCTTGGGTTCAATCCCCAGTACTACATACAGACACAAAAAAATGCCCAAAAATAAAGGAAGAGGTGCTCAACATCGTGAGTTACTAGGAAAATGCAAATTAAAACAGGGACATAACTATCAAAATGCCTAAAAAGTAAGTAAGACTGGCATTGTCAAATATTGACAAATAAATGGAAAAGCTTGAATGTGCATATGTTCGTATGTACAGTAGTACAGCCATTTTGAGAAGCAGTTTAGCAGTTTTTATAAAACATGACTCAGGAATTCTATTCCCAGGGGTTTACCAAAGATAAATTAAAATATAGTATAACCGCAAAAAGATACATACAAGTACGTTTATAGTAGCCCTATTTGTAATAGCTCAAAACTGGAAGCCATTCAATGCCCCTGAACAGGAGAATAGATAAGTAAATCATAGTGTAGCCATACAATGGTCTGTTCGTTGGCAGTAAAATGGGTAAATTACTGATATACCTAACAGTGTGAATTAATCTGAAAAACATTATGCTAGATGAAAGAAGCCGAACATCAAAGAATGTATAATATATGGTCTTATTTATTCAAATGTATTCAAACAGGCGAAACTAATCTGTACTGATAGAAATGAGACAATGCAGGGTGGGGGCTTGATCAGAGGAGGGAAAAGAAACATGAGAGAGCTCTCTGGGGGAATGTTCTATATCCTGTTATTGGTTATTACAGAGATGTATATGATTGTCAAAACTTATCCAGCTGAGACAGTACAGATACATACATTTTTATAAGTTGATTCTATTTCATTTTTTAACAGAGACAAGAGACATATTAGTCAGTTGCCACATATGGTCCTTATTTGGGTCCTGATTCAAACTGTTTTAAAATTGTATGACAATGAGGGAAATGTGCACACTGGCTAGATATGTAGTGTTGATATTAAAGGAATTATTAATTTTGTCTGTGTAAGTCCTTATCTTTTAGAGCTATATACTGAAATATTTACAGATGAAATGATAGAATGTCTGGGATTTGCTTCAAAATAATTCAAGAGCTGGGGAAATGAATGAGAGTATATAAATGAAACAAGGCTGGTCATATAATAACAACTGGTGATGCTGGCCGATAGGCACTTGGTATGTTGACTATAGTGTTCTGTATTTTTTAAAATACTTGGAATCTTCTCAACTAAGTAGATATTTAAAGGAATATACACTCCTAAAATGTTTCAAATTTTAGAGAAATATATATGATGAAATTTTCCCATAATCTCATCCCTCAGAACAACCACTGTTATCTATTTAACTAATATACATTATTCTCCTAAACATTTTTTGTTGTATCATTTTAAATAAAAATGGGCCCATACTGTATATGTTCATCTATAACAAAATAACTTTTTTAAAAAACTAAATCATGGATGTCTTTCCATGTCACTGTTACCTCAGCTTTTTTTAATACTTGAGTAAGGTGTTGTCCCATTCATTTTTTCATTCCTTCAAAAGATCTTTATTAAGCATTTATGGCCGGGGATATAGCTCAGTGGCATAAGTGCTTGCCTGGCAAGCCTGAGGTCATGAGTTTGATTCCCGGTACCAAAAAAAAAAAAAAGCATTTATGTACCAGTCACTACATCTGGTGTTAATTAACAGTGGTGACCATAATAAACAAGTTTCTTTCTGTCAGGAAACTTAGAAAGGCAGATAGTAACAAGTGAGCCAAAATTTCACTTCTGTTTCATGGTAAGAGTTAGGAAAGAAACAAATGCAGGAGTGCTCAACTAAGGAAGTTGCCTGCGGAGGAAATTGCGGAGGAGGGCCTCTCTGAGGAGGTGGTGTTGAAGCAGGGAAGTTGGGTGAGGAGGAGATGCCAAGTTGGAGGGTTAGGAAGTGGCAGCACATTGAAGCAGTAGAGGCGGTGAGGAGGGGTGAGCAGGGTCAGGGAGAAGAAGTGTAGAGTGTGAGGATCCTTAGGGAGAAAGACCCTGCTGTGTCCCCAGTTTTAGAGGCCTATGTAACTGAAGCATCACATTTAAGGTAGAAAGTAGCAAGATAGGGCCAGAGAGCTGGACAGGCTGTCGTGGGTAGGAATTTGGATTTTATTTTTAGTGTACACAGAAAGGCCGTTGAAGATATTAAGCATGACAAGCCCGTGCCATAATTCGTTTCATCAGTCCTTTGTAGATGTACATGTAGATTGTTTCCAGGGTTTCAGTAATACAAAGAAACACTAGAACATGAACTTTGTGAGAACGGGATCTTACCTCTTCTGTTCCCTAAATGATCCCCTTACTCTGTTACAGCCTGACACAAAATAGGCTTTCAGTAAACATTGGCTGAATTAACAAATGGTATGAAAAACACTTGCGTATCTCTGTATATTATTCTCATTGTCTCATCAAAATGTATTTCTAAATGCGAAATTGCCAGGTTAAAGAGTTTAAAGCTTTGCTTTTAAAATAAAATGCCTTCCAAAAAGATTGTACTAATTTACAAGTCTCTAAAAACATTTCAGAATTTAACACAAAACTCTTAGAGTATGTCTGATAGGTTTAGGAGTGCTAGATTAGATTAATCAATTCCCAGATATATACAGTTCTTGCTCAGTTGTATTTTTCTTTGAGATGTTAGGTCAGTGGTGGTGAATCTATGGCATATGTGCTGCAGCAGGCACACAGAGCCCTCTCTGTTGGCATATGAGCCAGGTCACCCCAGCAGATGAGGATCAGATAACAGTTTGTTTTTTTTTTTAACTAAAACTTCAGTATTCAGGTTCAATTGTATTGTTGGCAATTTGCAATAAATAAGTGGGTTTGGGGTTGAAGTTTGGGCACTCAGGCTCTACAAGGTTCACCATTGCTGCCCTAGGTGCATATGAATATTCCTATCTTAGGCTAGAGGCTAATAATAAGAATAGGGACTATTTCTTATTTTGCACCTTAGCAAAATGATTAGCCCAGTGAATATTTTAACATTTTACTGCCGTTCACCAGCAAAGGTATCCAGTGTTGGTAATCAAGTCTGAAGTTTATGGTACAGGAAATACTATAAAGTCAGGGTCTTTTCAGAATTAATAGTATCAGCTATTGGTGTGCTATAAGAAACAGATATGGCAGAGTACTGAAGGTAGGGCTTCTGAGGATGTTTATTTCTGGTGCTACTCCCTACTATCTTGGATAGGCTATTCTAATTTCTCATCTGTGAAATGAGCATAGTAGTCATAGGGTCATAGAATTAAATGAGTTTCATAAAAAGGACCTAGAATTGTACCTATCACTACTATGATAATCCTTTGGATAATTACTAAACATGTTTCTGTTTGTCTGCCTTTAACAGCTAGAAGAAAAACTCAAAGAAAAAGTCGATGTAAGTCTGACAGAACGGATCAATCTCATGGGAGAAATGGACACATTCAGCACGTATGTACCTTGTGCATGTCTGCTCAAGGTTGCTTGTCTTTTCTCCTTCATAGGATGGCACGTGTCAGGCTATTAGCATTAGTTGCTATAGAACCTAAGGGGTTTCCAGGGCCTTCTGTTGGATTGGGATTATTTTCCACTAGCCACTGAGACCAAGCATTAGAATTAGCAGCTGCCTCTTGTTCTGCCTCCTCAGATACAGTCATTCTCTTAGCTTACAGGTGTAGGGAAGGTATCTATGGTGACACTATCAGGAATAACAAAGGGAAGAAATCTCCCTTGGCCGTGCTGCAGGAATGTCCAGTTCCAGGCCTCCCATCTGCCCCCACCTAGACCCACAGAAGGCCAGGCCACGTCCTGTGTTTTAGAGTATAAAATGTATTGGCAGAATTTTAGCCATCAGAAATATAACAGTGTGTGCATGCCTCTGTGTGGTGGTGGTGGTAGTAGTGTGTGTGTGTGTGTGTGTGTGTGTGTGTGTGTGTGTCTGTAAGAGAGACAGATAGGTAGACTTGAGGGTCTGAGAGTGGACTCTGTCAAACAATAAAGCCTTTTTGGAATATTTTGGAATATTTCTCTTCCTGGTATGACTTTGCAGCATTTCTGTTGTTTTCAGCTCCTGGTCCACTACCATTCAATAGGTTTGAGATGGGTCCAATTTCAGCTCTCACTCAGCCATTTGAGTGAGAAAAATTACAGTCCTCAGTTTATTTCCTCCTCTTAACTCTTTGCTGTTGTTGTTGTCTTGGTTGTTGTTCTGATTTAAAACAATTGTATAAAACAGGTACTTTTGAAGGAGAACTTGAAGAGGGATTCTAGAACTGGCCTTCAGAGCTGAGGTCCTAACTGGGTTGGGGCACTCCCAGATAAGACCAGGACATGAAAAAAGAGCCAACTGCTCCTCCTCTGTCATTCATTCAAGCTCAAGCTTTTGTGATGACATAATGAATCTAAATTTTACAGAGGTGCCTGGTAGATTGGAAGGAGCTGAGTCAGTCATTCAAACGGTCATTTTCTTAGACCACAATACTTTGTTTGACTTGCAGCGTCATCTCCAGCAGCATTCAGTTGTTGGTTCAAGACCTGGATGCAGCCTGCGATCCAGCCCTGACTGCCATGAGCAAGGTAGGGTTTTAGGAACTGGCTTCTTAAACTTCCAAGACGGATTGAGATGGTTTCTCTTTGCCCTTACTGGTAGCTTCTTTCAGACTCTTTGGTGCTTAAAGTGTCAGCTGAGAGGAGAACAGAATGACCTCATGGAGTTCCCCAAAGAACACCGCTTATCTTGCACCTTAAATCATTGCTTATCCTTTGAAAATGAGACTGCGAATAAATGTGTTTGGTGAATCTAAAGGAGATGTTGTCTTCTGTCAGCATCTGACTTGCTAAAAGCATAATGTGGTCTCCTCAGAAGGGGTATTTTTGTTAGTTTATAGAACAATAACTTCTGCCTCATTCTTCATTCTTGCCCTCTGGGAGGTTGTATGAGTCTTTCTGACCTTTGGTGCTAATACAAGATTACTTGATCTAGTTGTACACTCAGGTTTTCTAATGTCCTTGTGATCCATCAGTCAGCCCTTGGGTCTTAAGTTTGTTCCTTTGATACTTACTGCACGCTATACCATATTGCTATTTTTGGCTTTTATGTGTCTATGCCTTTGCCTCCCCAAAGAGTATGTGGATCCTTTACACCACCCTCCCTCTTTCATGTATCTTGACTACAGTAGATTCTCATATCTGTTGATTAAGTTGAAAACAGAGAATTCTTTTTCTTTTTCTTTTTTTTGAGACAGGGTCTCACTAAGTAGTTTAGGCTGGGGTTGAACTCACTGTGAACTCACTGTGTAGCCCAGGCTGGCCTCGAATTCATGGCAGTCCTCGTGGCTCAACCTCCCAAATGATGGGATTGGGGGCTGGGGATTTAGCTCAGCGGCACAGCCCCTGCCTGGCAAGTGCAATGTCTTGAGTTGGATTCCCGGTACAGGAAAAAAAAAAAAAAAATGAGATTACAGGCATGTGCCACCATGCTCAGTGAAAATAGCCAATTCTTTATTGACTTTTTAAGCCCAAATATTGTAACATGAAGCTGCTCACTTTACAACCCTGTAGAACACGAAGGGTTGACAAACCATGAAATCTATTTGGGCCAAATCTGCCCCACTACCTTTTTTAAAAAAAATAAATAAATATTTATTGGAACACAACTAGGTCTGTTTATATACTGTGTATAGCTGCTTTTGTACTGCAGCCATAGAGTTGAATGATTGTAACAGAAACCATATAGACCTCAAAGCCAAAATATTTACTGTCTGAGCCTTTACAGAAAAAGTTTTCCAATGCCAACTCCAGAGTTACAGGCTCTTATAGCATTCCTGAAAATTCTGGAGAAGAAGCTTCTGTGGGGCACATTAGCCCCAGAAGACAATGGAAAGAATCATGACTTTGGAGTCAGACAGACCCAACTCTTCCAGTTTTTCTTTGGAGGATGATGAGGAATAACTTAACCTGTCTGGACCTGTTACCTCCCCTGCATGTGAAGTGCAGCTGTCTGCCTCCCAGAGTTGTGAGGGTGGAGCATTATGAGAGTGCCTAGTCTGCTGCCAGCCATGTAGTAAATGCTCAGTAAGTGTTAGTTCTCTCCTTCTTGTCAGGAGGAGTGACCGTGTCACAGGTTCTGTACACAGACATCTGGTCTGAACGTGGGTTGCAGTAAGTAGATTATAAATAACAAAAATAGAACTAATAAAACCAAAACTCTTGCTTTGGGGTTTTAAGGAGTAAAATGGAAAATTATGAAATAGCTGATGTCACAAAGTATCAAAAAGGTGATCTTCTCACCAGTCAGACGCTGATAGGTGTTTTCAGTGTTTACAAGCAGCTACCCTGAGCAGGCAGATTGAGGCTAATCCATTTTCTTAAAGGAACATGGCTGTGAGGATTCGTTTTGTAGGTTCTGATTATCCCCTTGCTGCTGGTGAGTGTTCACTACATCCTGAATGTGATCTGTTCCAGCTGCCATAGCCCCTGATCTGCCACACACTGCAGCCTGGAATGCAGCTGGTGAAAGAATTTTCACATTGACTAAGGGAAGACTGGAAGTTTTTTTCTTTCAGTAAAATAACACTTGGAGGGGTTTTAACACTCCAGGTGTTGCTTATATGAACTGTCAGTTCATTAGGTGGATTTCCCTTCAGTGCCCCCTCATACCCCACCATCCATTTCTCTCCAGACCCTCACTTGAAAAGATTAACAGAGACCATACCTCCAGCATCTTTTGTTTATATCATAGGAAAACCACAGACTTGGGAACACAGCAGCTGCAAGGCCATTACTTTTTGTCTGAGTCTTCTGCAGTTCTAGCAAAATGAAATCCATGTGATGAAAATAAACATGCCAAGTGGTCACAAATTGATTCAACACACACGCTCTGTTATTTGTGCCTGCATCCTGCTTCGTGTAGTTTCTTCTAGGATTATAAAACTTTTGTGATAGTGATTATTTGTGTCTCTGATTCCATCATCTTTGCTGTTAGTTGGACAGTTCAACTTATACTCTATCCAGCACAGTCCTAGAAGCGGTAAGGCCAGGAAAAGCATAGACATTATCCCACAATGTTTAGATTCCAGTAGGTGAGGGTTAAGAGATAGGTGAGGTGAGAGGAATGCTCACATAACTGTAATAGAAGGTCCGAAGAAATCAGTATCAGAGGAAAAACACAAAATTTAAAAGGGGAGAGTTTATATCTAGTAGAACAATCAAGAAAAGCCTTTGTAGGCAAATGGCATTTGAAAGAGAAGAGGGCAAAGTTTTGAATGGTTGTGATTAGAGCATTCCAAAGGGGTAATAATGCTAGCATAGTTTGTGAAGTTTGAAAAGCTCAGAAATTTGTCAAAATTTCCAACCTTATTAATTATCTTAGGAATTCCACACAATACTGTGTCTTGGACAGACACAGTCAAGACCGGAAACAAGACTGCCCCCAAGGAGTTTATATTCTGTTGGGGAAAAAACTCAGGATAACCAGTGGTATAAGTAGATGTGTTTTCTGAACGATGTACAAAATGAGAGTTGGGACTGCCAAAATGGAATAGAATTTTTGGATGGTTCTGAGTGGATGGGAGGAGGCTTCCTTGACAAGATGGATGAATTGGGCACTGTGGTCATGTCACTCTCCTAGGAGAAAACCAAAGTACCCCATGACCCCTTAGTTGAGATGTAGGGTTTTCATTATTGGCCCTTCCACTGCCTGCTAGCTTAGTCGTTACCTCTCCTCTGTATGTAACCTACACTCCGTTTTCATTTCCCTGAATGTGCATTGCTTTTTTGTGTGTGGCTTCCATGCTTTTCCTCATTCTATTCTTTCTGCCTAGAATTCTCTTCCTACTATTGTCTGTTCATCATTATCTCCTTTGATCCAGTTCAAATATCTCTTTTTTAAAATTGAGGTATAATTCATATAATACAACATATACCCTCTGTAAAGTGTACAGCTTACTGGATTTTAATATATTCATGAAATTCTACAGCCACTACCACTAATTCCAGAGCATCTTCATCACAACTGCAGTGTGGATTGAACTCAGGACCTTCACACTGAGCTATATCCCCACCCCTTTTTTAAAAAGTTGTTTGTTGTTGTTTTTTTTTAAAATTTTGAGACAGTCTTGCTAAGTCTTGCCTGGGCTAGGCTCAAGTTTGCAAAACTCTTGCCTCAGTATTCCATAGTATTAGGATTCCAGGCATGCACCACCATACCCAGTTTGCAGTTATCTCTGTCTTGCCTATTAAACTCTATAAACAACTTGAAGGCACGGTCTTACCCCATGGCATAGCACAGTATTTGCTTTAAGTAATGCTCCCTGAATGACTTAGAAGGTAAAGGCGGCAAGAAGAAAGAACCAAGGACTGCAGGCACTCATTTGACCAAAGAACGGCAACAGACATAGATGAGTACTGATCCGCAGATTGAGCTGGGTGGAGCTAGTAGACTGCAAATCTTTGTACAGATGGCAGGATCATGGACTGCCTAAAGCCCTAAAGCAAATAGCAAGTGCCATTGAGAATGATGTGATGCTCCTTGGTGGCACTTTAAGTAGCGAGGCTTCTTCAGCAAGTGGGAGCCAGCTCAAGGTCAGAATTGGAAATGCCCACACATAACTATTAGCTCCCTTAGGTGTAGCCAAGAGCCCTGGTAGACAAGGAGAGGAAAATACAGAGCGGCCGAATTTGGCAGAAAATACATGCAGAGGCACCCTTAAGCAGGCCAAAGTCAAGCCATAGTAGCAGAAACAAGATATAATGAGATTGTAGCAGTCCCCTTGAAACTAACTTTGAGATTACAAAAGTGTTGCTGATAAGTTTTGTCAAAAGTACCTTTCACACCACTTTTCCCTTCCATACTGCACTTTCTTTAGATGAGCTCTACTAGATAGTAAGTTGCTATTAATTGAGCACTTACCAGGACTCAGACAGCTAGGAGCATTATCTCATTTCATTCTGTCAAATGAGAGAACTTAGGAAGTTCCTATGTTCATCTCTTACAAAGGAGGACACTGAAACACAGAGAAGTTAAGTTACAGGTCTAAGATCTCTTAGCTAACCTATGGCAGAGCCAGGATCCACACTCCTGTCTCTCCATGCAGAGATACACCATGCCGTGCATTCAAGTGAAAGTAAGTCCTTCTGGGAAGTGTGGCAGCTGATGCAAAATCAGCCTGAGTAAGGTGGCGAGAAGTGAAAGAGCAGTGTGTCAGCGTGTGCCCATGACTGCTTGCTCCACGTGTGTTCGTGTGTCCTTGTTTGTAGTCTCTCCAGGCGTGCACAGTGTCATAGTGCAGATGTCGGTCTTCATCTTCTCTTGTTCTGTGGGACACTGTGACTTTCCTACAGGGGAGAGGATATGTTGAGCATCCAGCCTAAGGCATCCCAGTCTGCTTCGTAGACTTGTCCCTGCAAACTAATAAACTGTCCTTCTTGTGTGCGTGTTTCCTTCTTTTCCGTATCATGCCCAAAGCATATAGCTTACAATGGTGAAGCCAGAAATTTAAAAACAAGTCTACTGCTATTTAAAGTAGTTGTTTGGAGTGTGTTGGTGAAAAGATGAAGAGTTTTATCTTTTAAATTCT